GGGGGGGGGGGAGAAAGAGGGAGGAAGAGAGAGTTAAAAGAGTATGTATATCTACAAATTAAGGGAGAGACAGAAACAGAAAACAAACAGAGATACCATTCCATAAACAGACTTAAAACATCAAAACAAGACATTAAGACACAACTGGTACAATTACGAGGAAACATTTCCATGCAACAAACTAGTAGACATAATTCCAAGAAATTGTATCAAGTTATGTACATGCCGAATAGGCTCAATAGGAATTGCATTTGGCTGAGAATACAACCCCACACTACATGCAGATACAATATACATATACAGCAACTAGAGTCAACAGTGAGTAGTAGGAATAGCCTATGGAGCTGGTAAAATAAACAATAAATAATAGAAGAGGATGTCACAGTCTTTATCATTGATTATCAATTATAGTAGCTAATCGATTGACACTAACCAAACTGTCTTTTGAGAAGAATTGTGTCATTCACATGAACATGAATACAGAGTGTCTATCTATCCCTCCCTCTCTCTTTTATATTTGTCTAAGCTACAATTCCTCTGAAAACCCTTTCTATATCTTCTCTCTCCCCTTCTCTCTCTCCCCCCTCTCTCTCTACCTTCATAAGTCTCCTTCAGTTCAAGGCAGTGCTTCTTGTGTAGAGCTATTTCTGCTTCAAGCTGTGCCACTCTTCCTTGGGATATCTGCTTGCCAAGATCTTGATTCTCCTGCAACAGGCTACGACACTTTGACATCAATTTCTTTCCTGTTACACTAGAAAAGGAAGAGAGAGAGGGAGGGAGAGAGACAGGAGAGGAATAAAGACAGAAAGTAAAAAGGAAGTGAAATAAATAAAATTATTTCGAAGATGTCACTGAGCTCATCATTATTTCAGTGTAAATAGATAAACTTTTGTCATTCGCCAACGCCCCAGTATCAAATACTTTTACTAATTACCTACATGTACACATTAATATATCAAGTGCTGTAGAATGCATTCCAGGTAATGTTATGATAATGATTAAGTATGTGATCATTAACCAACCAACCAGCCTATGAAATCAGTGATTCATCTAGCCCGATAGCTTAATATAAATCTAATCTCAACCAAACCCAATCAAACACTCGCTGAGACAGAAAAAGATAGACACTATCATAAAATGAGGTAATTTTCAATCTTCATAGGGTTATACATGTACATGTAAATGTAAAAATTAGATTTTCACATATCACAAATTTATTTTTCATTTCAAATATAATAGTCAAAAACTAGCATGCTTCATACATGTAGCTACTAGCCTACCACCATCAGAAATATATGATTTATGATATTTAATACACTATACAGTTACATGTATACACTACGTTAGTTACCTGTCTGGTGTGAATTTCCAAGCACTGAGGTCGTTCTGGGCTTGTTCAAGTTTCTCTCTTGAAGCTTTTAGCTCTGACGACATCTGCTGGAAGAGAAGATTAACCGCAGGATCTATCGTAAGACTGTGAAGGTTAGTACTCTCGGCAGTCTGGGATTCCTTGAGGTCTTGAAGCTGAGCCTATGGGACAATAATCATGACAGGAAAAGGGCTTTTAATTATGTGCGTGGGTGAGAGTGTAATGGGTGTGGTCAAGTGTACATGTGTGAATGGACTGACTAGAATGTTCCGAACTTCCTCTTGTTTGGTCGCTAGTCTCATGTTTAATACGTTCTCTCGTCTTGTCAGTTCTTGTACCTGTGACTGTAACCGAGCCTCTGAGTCCTTGAGTCTATGGAGGGAGAGAGAGAGAGAGAGAGAGAGAGAGAGAGAGAGAGAGAGAGAGGAGGGGGAAAGGAAGGAAGAGAAGCAGTAGCCTAAATTCTTTCTCTTTGTTTACTTGATGACTTCCTCAGCTGAAGAATTTTCCAATTTAGCTAATAAACTATCAATTACAGCATCTTGTTCCTTCCAGCTGGAAATATACAATTTAAATTAAAAACAGGATTAACATATACATATTAATACTAATACTAATATTATATTACTAGTGGATTATTTTCTCTTTTTTCATGTTCTTCAATTCCGAGCTACTGATCTTAATCTAGAGAGAGAGAGAGAGAGAGAGAGAGAGAGAGAGAGAGAGAGAGAGAGAGAGAGAGAGAGAGAGAGAGAGAGAGAGAGAGAGAGAGAGAGAGAGAGAGAGAGAGAGAAAGAGAGAGAGAGAGAGAGAGAGAGAGTGGTTTATAGGAAGTTATAATGTGTGAACTTGCAAGTATAGTAACACTCTCAACCTGGTTACTCTCAACTCAAACACAATTACTGATTAATTTCATTTGTACTATACATAGTACACGATCTTCAAAATATTAAACACCATATATAATTAAAATGAGAGGGAATTGATTTTTAATAATAATGATTCGACTATTTTCAGAGTATAATACACAATGTTTCAACAAGTGGTGGCATGTAGTTTTGTCTCTATTAGTGTAATTTGTACCCTCTTTCTTGCTCTTATTGAATCATTCGGCGACAAGCTTCTCTTTCGACCTTTAGAAAAACAGAAAAAAGAAAACAAAGGCACAATACTTATTTAAACACACCCACTCTCACTCTAAATAATGCCCACCCTCATTAATTAAATGAGTTTAACAAATCAGCCTTCTCTTATCTTTTAAAGCATAGACCCAGGTTCTTTCTCCGTCTCTCTCTACTTGCTTCTCCCTTACCTTTCTCAGCTTGTGAGCTTTGGCCTGCAGATTTGACATCCGCCATAATGACCACATGAGAGTAACTCTAATTATACGAGCGAAACTCTTGAATAATAGTAAAATTAAAATTCTAATTAGCCGGATTGCTGCGTAATATTATAAAATAAGGTGTGGCTGGAGAATGGGTAAATTTTAATTTCTACATTTTTGCTATTAATTTTCTTTTTTGTAGATTATAAAGAAGAGCAAGATGGAGAAGTAGAAGCACTCAAATCCATATATACTGAAGAAGAGTTTAATGGTAGGATGCATTTTTAATTTTAATTAAGTATACATTAATTTTGTAGTTAATTTTTGATTGTAATGTTATATTGTTGTCCTTATGCTATGTAGAAAGTTTGAGCCAATTCTGACTTAATTTTTTTGAGTTATAGTTATTTCTTTAAAAGTTCCAATTTTTGAAAAAAATCCCTGTACTATAGCCCACGGTTTTTTCCGAAAAATGGCTCCGAAATCATCCCCAATTTTTATTATATTTTCTGATACATATTGATGTCCTTATGCTGTGTAAAAAGTTTGAGCTGATTCCGACTTAAATCTTTTGAGTTATGGCCATTTTAAAAAAAGTCCCAATTTTTGAAAAAAATCCCTGTACTATAGCCCATGGTTTTTTTACGAAAAATGGCTCCGAAATCACACCTAATTTTTATTATATTTTCTGATGCATATTGATGTCCTTATGCTGTGTAAAAAGTTTGAGCTGATTCCGACTTAAAATTTTTGAGCTATGGCCATTTTTAAAAAAGTTCCAATTTTTGAAAAAATCCCTGTACTATAGCCCATGGTTTTTTCCAAAAAATGGCTCCGAAATGACCTCCAATTTTAATTATATTTTCTGATACGTATTGATGTCCTTATACTGTGTAGAAAGTTTGGGCTGATTCTGACTTAAATTTTTTGAGTTATGGTCATTTCTTTAAAAGTTCCAATTTAAAAAAAATCCCTGTACTATAGCCCATGGTTTTTTTCCCGAAAATGGCTCTGAAATCACCCCCAATTTTTATTACATTTTAAAATGCATATTGATGCCCTTATGCTATAGAAAACACTTTGAGCCAAATCTGACTGTACATGTTATTTACATTGCCAAATTGAGCTAAGCTTGATTGCTGGCTCTTACAGCAATTGATGTATCATTATCCATCAAAGATTAACTAATAACTATTATGTATAAAAAATTAACTCTAATCTTTTTAGAACTCTCATCGACCCCATGGAGCTTCGAAATTACTATTAACTCGGAACTAAACGACTTGAACGGTATTTATATTTCATAAAAATAATAATAATATTTACTTCTTCCTCCGACCCCCTCCTTAGCCCAATGTGTCATTCAGTTTGATCTACCAGAACAATATCCTGACCAGCCCCCTCAATTTTCCCTCGTCTCTCTCGACCCCTCCTCCATACCCTCTCAATCTATTCTAGACCTTTTAGAAGAACAAGTAGGCGGGTGTGGTGTAGTGTTTATCTTTTCATTTTTGTTATAGTCAAACGATAATATTGGTATGCCAATGATATTCACGCTCACTTCAGCTGTTCAAGAGAAACTGCAAGATTCACTCCAGCAGTCTTTAGAGGAGGAAGAAAAGCAAGCGAGAGAGAAAGAGGAGGAGGAGAAGAGAAAAGAGGAGGAGAAGTATAGAGGGACTATAGTTACTGTTGAAACATTTGCTGCTTGGAAGAAGTCCTTTATGGAGGAGATGAACATCAGTAAGAAAGCTAAAGACAGCAGCAGACTTACTGGTATGTGTATAGAATGAAGGAAAGGAAAGGAAAAGAGTTATAAGTACTCGTCATTTTTAGGTAAAGAGATGTTTGAGAGAGATGCCTCTTTAGCACTGTCTGATGTTAAATTTATAACAGAAGGTAAATCAATAGTACCTCATATTAAAAACATGATCATTTTACATGCATAACACACATTAAGCATAATGTACATGTACATTAAATATATATGTACACGCATATTCTTGAATATTCTTGTACATTATGCTTTTAAAACTATTGTATCATTCTTTCTTTTTGCCAGATGAAGATGAAGCTCTTATTGATGACGTTGAAGTTGACGAATCGCTATTTCAAGATTTAGGAGACCTTGAGTCGGAGGACATTCTTGACAATACCAGCTAGCAGCTGCCCTCATGATTATAATCAATCTCAATTTGTGTGTGTACATGTATGTAATACTATTAATAATTATTATTATTTTCATTAATTATAATGAACACAGACACACGAAAGTACAAATGAGAGAGAGAGAGAGAGGAAGAGATATTAATAAAATCAACAAATATAATCAGTATTATTTAGTATAACTATTTTGTTGCATTAAATTGTATCTATACAGTCTCAAGTGCATTTGACATATCTTTAAGCTGAGCAGCAAAATTCTAAAAAAACAAAAATCATTATAATTATTTACAAGTGACCCATAAAATGAATCCTAATAGTACTAACTTGGAATTGTTTTAAACTTAGTTCAATGGAATGGACTTTGACCTCTCCAGGTGACTCCATTACTTTCAATTGTAATGTGACGTAGGGTACATTAAGAGCCTTGCAACCATTGGAGCTCATAGCCACGCCCAGTTTCCAATCCATGGACACTAACTAAAATAATAATACATAATACTTTAGCTCGTTATTGGTGGGCGTGGTGTCTCACCTCGCCAACAGAGAGAGCTGTTTTAGGAAGGGCTACAAGAGATGGGCCTTCCGTCTCCCAAACTTGTCTTAAAACTGCTGCAGAACTTTCGGAAAATAGCGGAGAGTTTTTCAACTGCTTAGCAAAAGCTTCGGCCGAGGATTTCTCTGTAGCTGCAGACCTGAAAAAAATATTCATAAGATAATTGGAGTATATTGTATTACCTAAAGATAAATGTAAGAGCATTGATGCAAGACTGGGCATTAATTGGAGTAGATATTGACGGAGCTATTTTTTGTATAGACTAAAAAATGAAGGAATTTTAAAATTAAAAAATATGTAAATTACAATTTACTATACCATTTCATGTTGTGCTGTGTTTATGAACCCAGACTGATACTGAAGGAAAGCAATGACGTCCTGCGACTAAAGAATGAAAAAAATAGAAAAAAGTAAAATAAAAATAATAACTATAAAAATAATTTTATGCCCTATTTGCATGCATAAAGTCTTGATATCTTACCATTTCAGCTAGTAGACCTTGTGGTAGAGCATTCAACATGCCCACAGCCTCTGAGAATCCTAAAGGAGGAGAAGACAAGAACGCCATTTTGTTTACCAGCCACACCTTCTAAACGTAGACCCACGCATTTGCAACACCTTTTTAATTTTAACCCTTTTCACTGCGCATGTTCACTCTTTCTCTCCCTCGTGGTCTGGAAGAGGAGAAAGACAATTGGGAGCGAGGCTTGGATCTTAACCAATCCTTTATCAGGAGTCTCTCATCAAAAGGAAAAATATGGTATGAGACTAACTAGTGTACATATTACATTATTAACTGTAAATTTGTACATGTACATATGATGTATTAAATTCAGAAATAATAATTATAATGATAATTACTATTATTACTATGTATGTTGTAATTATTAATTTCTATTGCTTTCCTCAGTCTGCAAGGCCGCTAGTGTCAGTTTTCGATGAAAATGGTAAATCAGTTGAACAGGTTGGGATGCCTGCTGTGTTCCGGGCCCCACTGAGACAAGATGTCCTCCAGTTTGTCCACACTAACATGTCCAAGAACAGTCGCCAGCCGTACGCTGTCTCTCACAAGGCGGGGCATCAGACGAGTGCCGAGTCATGGGGTACCGGTCGAGCGGTCGCTCGTATACCACGTGTTAGGGGAGGAGGAACACACCGCTCTGGACAGGCAGCTTATGGAAATGTATCCTTAATTGATGGGTGGGGCTATGTGTGGAGTCTAATTAATATTAGAATAATGTTTGTGTGAGTGTGCACATTTTTCTTTGTGAGGGATGCGTATTTGTAAGGAGATGAATGTGTGTAGGTCTGCCCTAATAAGATTAGTTAGATCACGCTTAGTTGCACACAACTTAGAGCAATGAAGAGATACAACTTATAAGTGATTTTAATGATTTTATTTTCATCTTTTTTAGTCAGTGCTTTCCTTAGCTATGTTAATCCTTAGATGTGTCGTAAAGGACGTATGTTTGCACCAACTAAAACATGGCGTCGCTGGCATCGTAAGATTAATCTCAAGCAAAAACGTTTTGCCATGTGCTCCGCCATTGCTGCCACCGGCCTGCCCTCTCTAGTCTCCGCCCGTGGACACCGTATAAGGAAAGTAGGGGAAATCCCTCTCGTAGTCTCTGATGAAGTACAGACCCTGAGCAAGACTAAGGAAGCCGTGAAACTTTTAAAGTCTTTAAGAGCTTACGAGGACGTAAGCAGGAGCAAGGAGACAAGGAGGATTCGTCCGGGAAAAGGGAAAATGAGGAACAGGCGTTACCTACAGAAGAAAGGTCCTCTTGTTATTTATAGCAAAGACTCCGGGATCAAGAAGGCATTCAGAAACCTCCCAGGGGTAGAGCTACTCAATGTCAATAAGTTGAATTTGTTACGTCTGGCCCCCGGGGGTCACATGGGTCGGTTCTGTATATGGACCAAGAGTGCCTTTGAGAAATTGGATAGAATCTATGGCACTTTTAATAAGAAATCAAAAGTGAAGAAGAATTACAAGTAAGGGAAGGGAAGGTCATATGACAGTGTATTTTATAATCCATAGATGTATATATTCCATTTTTATGCCTATACCATTGTATATGTACATCTCATTGATCTTATTATGTATAATGCTGCATACATATTTGGATGAGTGTATTTAAAGTTAGTCTATCTCTTGCTATAGGTTGCCCAGACACACAATGACTAATAGTGATTTGTCTCGTATTATTAATTCTGATGAGGTACAGAAACAACTGAGGAGGAAAGGGTAAGCTGACTAAGCACAACATGTCCATATATGTCACTGCTTACTATCTACCATTATAACACAAAACAACTTGTGAATAGTAGCAAATTCAGCATTGTCATTGTGTCACTTGCAAATCACAAGCTATGAATATTTAAACAGAATACATTTTATTTCCCTCACAGTCCTAAGAGGACCAGAAGAGCTCCTATCAAGAAGAATCCATTGAAAAATAGTCAAGTTATGATACGTCTCAATCCTTACTGGCAGACATTTAAGAGACAGCAGTACCTCATCCAGCAGAGACGACTTAAAGAGAAAGAGGCAGCAGCTGGTGCTAAGAAATAAAGGAAGAGGAGGACAATAGTAATTATATGATTTTGTTTCATAAAAAATTGTTACCAATAATGAAACACAGCACAATAAACAGCAAAAGTATTTGTTAAGCACACAATTTATCAAGCTCATTGCAGTCAATCAAAGTTTGACATTCATTGATCATAGTCTTGCTAGCCAGACCATTCCCCATTGTAATGACTGTCGGCTGGTTGGGTCTGGCTACTAGATAGCAGAGTACAATGATGATAATCAGTAAGAGTATAATGATGGTAATCAGTAGCCCATAAACTGTTTTATTTGAATACTTATTGTCATTGCTACTTTTTGGTATTGTCATATTCTCAGAACATTCAAAATCAGGTTCCATTCCATACTCTGTGTGTGCTTCATCAGATGACAAAAAAACGTTGATTTCGCTTTCAACTTTCCCGTACTGGCAATCTTTACAGAGTCTAAGAATTCTCTTCCAAGTGACATCTTTATTTTTCTGTATCCACCTATCAAAAACAAGGCAAAGATTAGTTCCTGTTAGTGCTGGATTATTGACATTGAGGTCACGCCATTGGACATCTAATTCCACACCAATGGTTATATAATCATGACTAACTCCAGATTGAGTGAATATTCTATGAAGATCACGAACTTTTGGTTTCTTTAAGTTTAGGAGATCTATTTAAGCAAAATCATAAATAATTACATTAAAGCTCTGTAAGAATAGCTATGATTACCTCGTGGTCCGGGATTAATTTCAATGTCTCCAGATACGAGGTGAATAACAATGATAAACATCATTATGTGCATCATGTCTATATATGTAACAAATTCAAGAGAAGAATGAGAGGATTGGCAGTGCCAAGCCAATAAAGTATTAACGAATTTTGAGATAAATGAGATTGGGTCGTGACCTTCCCTGGCATATGGATAACTAGGAGTACGCTTCGCCAAGTTCACCTGGCTCCAGTGATATATATGCTGCTCAGTCTCGCTAGCCAGCGGGACTAATGCAAGTTTAGGAGGCGGAGGTACCGCCAAAACAGCCGCCAAAAAATGAGCACTAAGACAAGAGTGCCTGTGCAGTACAGCCCTTAGTACATCCGTCTGATCAAATAAATGGTCTGCAAAGTCTAATATTGTGTTTAAACTACTCTTCTGGCTAAAAGACTGCAGTCTTTGACCTAGTCTGACTCCATCATTTTCATATTGCAAGTCCCGCCAAAGATTCATAAAACCCGAGTTTGTCTCATCAGCAGTGTCGGATGCCATAATAGGAAGACCCAGCTCTCAGTTAGTCTGGTCACCCGACTGTCGTAGCTCTCGGTCTCTCACAGCCTCTCAGCGCCGGGGCCAGTGGCTTAGTCCACACGAGACTACCAGTGGCTCTGCTCCTTCACTTTTCTGCTCTCCTGAGCTGACCCTACTCAGTCTATTTCACCCTACTGATCCTAGCCTCTTGCTCCGGCTAGCCGGAGCAAGAGTCACGTGATCTACACAGCCAAGAATTTTGATTGTCATGTAGAGCAATGGTTTAAATGGAGTTAATCAGTACATGAGTAGGGGCCATCCTCGCTTGGGTTGACCACCCACGCACCCACTGCATGGCGTGGGCAGTATGCAAATGTAGCAACCCACTTGTACACCCACGCAGTTTAGTTGTGCGCATGCGTGGGTGACCAGCATCATCCAGCATTCACTTAGGATCTCAAGCATGGAAGAAGCACCTCCGATTGTTCTTCCACCACCCACCCAACACTAGTAGGTTTAGGTTTTCAACTGGGTCCCTTCCCAGTGTGATAGTATGGGCACCACGGAAGCTCTGCCCCCTAGATAATAATCTGTGGGTCATCCCCATGGGCCCCACTTCAGCCCCGCCCCCCAGAATAACCGGGCCTTTCATGCGTTCCGGTCCACCATGCCGGGGGGTTCTCTGCCCACGCAATGACATTCTGTGGGCGGACTAAACCCCCTGGCCTCCTGCCCCCTCATTGTGGTTGCACGAGGTGTGCCTCGAGGGGGAATCCGGAAACCATAGATAGTAGAGTAAATGAAAGGGATTGGAAACTTCCGCGTGGGCGTAGCAATAATGCCATTTGATTGTATTGTTGCTAAGCAAAAAAATTGCTGACTAGGCGGTTTGTTACCTTTTGACCACAAAATTTTTGATTTTTTCCATTAAAATTAGAATGACTCCAAGAAGAGTGCTCTGATGAAAACGAAACTTGACTATCAAGGAGTTCGATGTTTTGTACTGTTAATTATTATTTATCTGATATTTTTAAATTAATATTTTGAGTGTTATAGCGCTTTTGCCAATAAAATTGCTGTTTTCTCCCTCTCATGAAGACATTTGTAGCTAAACTCTAAAAAGCTTGTCAGAATATAAAAGAACTTTCAATTACCTATGGAATGATATGAGGCAACACTAGAATAGCAAAAGCATGAAAGCTGTAGAGGCGAAAAGGTGTCAAAAAAGATGCCGACTTTGTGTACCCATAACTGGTCGCAAAATAGCTCTATAGAAACAAAAACCTTGCTATAGGTAGCCATAAACTTTCTATGTGGAACAGAAGATATATCATAAGCAAGCACTATCTAATAGTCGCACAATAATCCTTCGAAATCCTTTCTGCACAACAACTACTGTGGAGGAGATGGGGAATGCAGATAAACACGGACGTTGCCAACCAGGTAACCAGGGGTGACGAAAACTGCATCACCGGGCGGGAACGGTAGTTTCCAATCCCTTTCATTTACTCTACTATCTATGCGGAAACCCTCAAGGTGGTCCCACCCATATTTGGGGTGGGGCCAACCATCTAGGGCCTAGGGCCCTAGGGCCCATATAAGAGCGGTTGCAGTGACGTCACTTTTTGACGTCATAATTACTTCCGTATGGCAAAAATTAATGAGCCTCATTCGTTTACAGCAGTAAAGTTGCTTCTTCTATAACTTCTTTTACACAGCACAAGGCAGAAAAGGAGTACAATTCTAGCAGTAGTAAGCAGAAAAGTAGCGATAGCAATAATTACAGGAGTAACAAGGCAATGCTGTGTTCACTTTGGCCGCTTCACTGGTTCTCTATCCGAGGACTTGTTGCTTCCTTTACATCCCTAAGTCCAGGAAAATGAAAGAGCAGCATGAATTAGCCATGCTCATAGTTAAGGAAGCCTGCCAGAAGAGTTTATAGTGCTGTACAAATGAATGGCAAAGTAGCCATTTTGCCATGCGGAAGTAACTATGACGCATGCTGTGACGTCATATGAAAACCGCTCTATACATTGGCCACACTTCCTCAGGGCAGTGTGGCCACCGTCTCATTGCTTAGGCAATCGGTACAGAGGACGGTGGACCACGGTAGGCAGGTGGACCCGAGGTAAGATTAATTTGAATCATGACTGGTATCAATCGTGATCAGCGAGGCGAGACTACAGCTTGATACATTCCTGTATCAGCAGCTTCAGTTTGCCAATCGTGATCAGCTTGATACATTCCTGTATCATGGATTTTGGGCAGCCTGCAAAGCAATGAGTCTAGTATCTACAAATTCGACTACAATCATGATAATCATCCACGATACATCCATGCTGGAGTACGGCCCTGGTTCAGCCAGAGCAACAGACATGATTCAACATTGATGCCAGTCAGGGTTGTATCAAAATAGACATCAGGCTTGAATTGAATCATTAATTTTGGGTAGTGGCCTGTATCAGAGATGATAATTCTTGGCTGTGTATGCATCTACATTGATGACATTCAAGAATCAAGTGATCATACATCATAGACTATGATGTATGATCATTTGAGTATCATCAATGTAGATGCATATAGCTAATTTTAAGAATGGTTAGAGAAAAGGCTTCGAAGCCTCTGATAGAGGTCATCATTACCAGTATGTCTGTATGCAATAGTGAGTTTTGATAGCAAGATCAAGAAGTCAATAAATAATTATATATCTATTCCAAAAACTTTTCAAGGTTATCTTTTACTTTGCCCAGTTGATCAGGGTAATTGTCTCAAAGCTGCCTCAGTGTATGCCAACTGATATCTTTTGGAATCAAACCACCTCTCAAATACAAGAATAAGGTTTCCATAGATCAGACACTATATATCCAATCCAATCCCTATTAGCTTATAATGGTTAGAAGTACCAAATATCTTGGTAACTGCCACCATGTTAAGGTCTTAATCTTGCCTAATACTAATAGTAGATAGAGGATTAATCTATAATACTTAGTTATTTTGCTGCTTTAGTTGAGTCCTAGACCCAGTTTGCCATGATAGCCTCTATCACAAATAATAAATGATTGAAATAATTGCGTAATCACGTGATGCAAGATAGCAAACATTATTCATTAACTACATTAAGCCAAGAAACTACATGTTATTAAGACAACTATAGCAAATAATGCACAACAAGTTAGCAGTCTTTATCAATCAATACTCGGTAACTATTGTGATAAGTACTTTTCCAGCTCAGCTTTTGCTCTGCCCAGTTGAGGATAACTGCCACAAAGTTGTCTCAATGCATCCCATGTGACATTTTCATTGGCATCATACCACCTCTGGAATAGCAAAAGAAGATTATTTTGTGCTTGACCTGGTATTTGCGTCAGATCACCTGTACTCACACCCAATCCAGCTCCTATCAGCATGTAATGGTGAGCAGAATCACGAAATATCTGTGTGAATGCTGCCGAATTAAGCTGTTTGCCTACAGTAATTTAATAATAACTACACATAACACTATTAATTGCAATTAATCTTACCTCGGGTTCTCGGGCCCTTCCCAGCTGTCACACCTAGAAACGAGACAGGCCGCACTGCCTACTAGGAAGTGTGGCCAATGTATGGGTCCCGCTTCAGCCCCACCCCCCTGGACTGTCTGGGCCTCGTACAGCAGGCTGCTGTACGATAGAGGGTCCCAAATTCCACCCCAGGAGGGGCTGCGGCCCTCCCGGGGCTTTGGTCATATCCCTCTATTCATATTCGCCCCCGTGATGGTCCCACAAGCACCAGCATGAGGGATCAGCCCCACCCTTGGGTGGGGTCACCACTGGAGGGAGGCGATGGCCCGGAGACAGGTATCGAGGGGGCAGAGCCTCCGAGGTGCCCATACTATCACACTGGGAAGAGAGCCCAGTGGAAAACCTAACCTAAGAGTTGATGGGTGGGTTGGAGGTGAAAGTATCTCCTTAGCCTCTTCCACTGCACTTGCCTTCCAGCGAGCTTCTCAGTTCTGCATGAGTGATCTCCCACGCATGCGCAAAACGTGGGGGCGGGCTCAGCTCGGTCCCGCGGGGCCGTCCGCCCCCTCCATTCCGTGAGAGTGGTCCCCTGCTGATTAACCTGGCTTAAAGCTAGGCTCTAAACCACATTTAATCTTACCTCGGGTTCTCGGGCCCTTCCCAGCTGTCACACCTAGAAACGAGACAGGCCGCACTGCCTACTAGGAAGTGTGGCCAATGTATGGGTCCCGCTTCAGCCCCACCCCCCTGGACTGTCTGGGCCTCGTACAGCAGGCTGCTGTACGATAGAGGGTCCCAAATTCCACCCCAGGAGGGGCTGCGGCCCTCCCGGGGCTCTGGTCATATCCCTCTATTCATATTCGCCCCCGTGATGGTCCCACAAGCACCAGCATGAGGGATCAGCCCCACCCTTGGGTGGGGTCACCACTGGAGGGAGGCGATGGCCCGGAGACAGGTATCGAGGGGGCAGAGCCTCCGAGGTGCCCAAATCCGCCCACAACTTTCTTATTCTCTTCCCTTTAAACTTCTCCCCTTAAAAATATAATTATTAGGACAATAAAGGAAAAGGGGGGGTGTAATGGGGGGGAGAGGATGGGACAGGCGGTAGTGATAGAGTAACAGTCAAGTTGTAGAAAAAGAGGGGGAGAGGAAAAGGGTGGAGTAAGGACGACAGAGGCAATACACAATTCAATTAAGGGACATAGCAAGACAGGATTGTAAGAGCAGAAATGAAAACACAGAGTAAATATAGATGAGAGAGACAGAGATAGATTCGGGGTCATAATGATAGTGCAAATCTAGATGAGAGAGGCAGGGTGGGCCGTATGCCTCCAGGGCAACACAGCTGCTTAAATGCATCACCTGATGGGACCCCCAATCAATCGGGCAATGCCCAACAGGGTGTCCCTGGGAGTGTGTATGTACAGCTGGTATGCTTCAGATTGCCACCGGCCTAGCATCTTTATCAGGTGGTCGGGAATCCCTGCCGCTGCTGCCGACGTGGCTGCCCCAATAC